GGAATACAATTTCGGAATAGCAATACATTTACATGCAGGTCACAAAAGGGAATCATAGTTTTAATGGAATGAATGGAATACAGGTACAGTGAAACCTGTCTATAAAGAGCACCCAAGGGAGACAAGAAAAGTGGTCTTTAGAGGCAGGTGGTCTTTATGTACAGGTTCCTTTAGTACAGGTTTCAATGGGAAACAATTATCAAGGGAAACAAAAATGTGGTCTTTGTAGACAGTGGTCTTTCTATACAGGTGGTCATTAAAGCAGGTTTGACTGTTCATACACATGCTATCTTGAGTTCTTGTAATAATAATAATTGTAATGATAAGTTACATTAATGAAACACAGACACTATGCAAATATATTCTACTGCACTGCGAGAGCTCTTGATGTGGTTAAAATCTACAACATAACGTTAAATGAAAAGATGTACTTTCAGTTTTAATTTAAATGTATGATGGTGATTTCCTCATTTGTAACGGTGAGTTATTCCACAGGTAAATGCTTGATCTCCCAATGTTATTTTGTTGTTATATGTGATAGGGTTTGCAATAATGAAACAAATTTTTAATAAAATCATTTAATTGGAGTATAGATTTTTGATCACATAGCAATAATTAAAGAATACTTAATGGGATTATTCAGACTTCAGATGAGGAAAACAAAACAAAGAAACTTGCTGAAAGCAATACTCTTACAATACACATGATGGAATCCGATGTGTGTAAAGACTTCATCATTTACATCGTCAAAATATTGTTTTCACCAAGTTTTTTTTTCTTCCTCAGTCTGAATGACCATCTACAATGTACATGTACATTACATGAACCACAACAGACATTATCAAATCAACAAAGAACTGAACATTTCCAAATGACAAATTGCTTAATTCAACAATACATGAATAATGGTCAAACAATACTATAATCTCAATTTTATAAATATATTATCCCTTCTTCTACATCAAAAGGCAAAATACTGATGCACAGCATACATGAAGGTCCACACAACTGCAAATCAATCATCAAGCTGATACTTACCTGTTCTTTTTCTTTTCCTAAACAATTCCAAATTAATCAATATCCCATAACTTACATTATTGCTTACTTTGATGTCGAAGCCATTCAAACTATTGAATTACCCTTAAAAGCCCTCAAACAAAATCCCCAAATTTGAATACAAAACACAGCAAAATTTCACAAATTCTTTCCTGAAAACCCTACCAATGCATGTATATGTACTTCTAAATACACAAAGCTGATTCAGTATTCTTTTCAAATTTCTTGCAAATTACATTGAATAAATGAACACCTACAAAAAATCATTTTATTCTTAAAAAACAAAATTACAACATATTTTTTAATAAATTCATTATAGCACAGTTCAAATCCAAAAGCAAATTAAGTGATGAATTAGTATTTCATTTACTGTTAATCATACATCAATACAATTTATATTTAACTTGGCAAATAGCAACATGACTTGCACAAGTTACTTTGTAAAAAAGTTCACTTACTATTAAAAAAAGACACTTTTATAATTATTCTCATCTGGAAGGAGTTCATTTTGACAGACGTGCATTTTGACAAAAATATTGTCACAAAGTGCGTAGCAAGCTGAGGCAAGTTAATATATACATAAAATATCACATGCTGATCACAATGTCAACAAATTTGGGCCAAACTCCTCCCACAGTTGTTATGGTATTTCTAAGAGTATGACTTTTTCAATGAAGAGTTGTTTGGTTTTCTAATGTATAAGGCTGAAAGTGATCCATTCAAACATACAGATGAAGACCATTCTGGAAAAAAATGTTTTCTTGTAATTACATGTACAACTCATTAATGGATAATATATCTAATGTAAATATTCTTCCCATCTTAAATATAACCCTCAATTTTATGAAATGATACCTTCTCTTTTTATTTGAAAACTAAAAACAAAATACAACAAAAAGTACCAAAAATACTACAGTTGGTCATTGGTGTAAATGTGACTCTATGGTTTAAAGAGAAGGTTGAGTTCTGGGAAGAGGTGAAAAATAATTTGTGAGCGTTATCATTCTTATTATGCAAGTGTGGAAGAAAATCAGATAAGACATGTTCCCTGAAAAGCATGGCTCTTCAAACGCCTTCATATTCCAAATATGTCAATAACATCGTAAAACTCGGGGGGTAGGATTTTTACGCCACGTATTCGTGTAGTCCCATATACATCTTTCTGTGTACAGTGTTTGTAACTTTACCAAGACTTGGCCAAATTTCTTATCATTTTGATGATTCCAGAACCTTGTAGTACACACAAGTTCTTATATGCTTGATGATCAACCTTTTCTGGTCGATTCCACACCGTTTCTTTCACAATGCAATCGCATGACCAGAACTCAACTTCATTTTTAAGTACAAAATAGAGAGGCTGGCATAATAAAATAACTCTTAACCCGAATTTCAGAGATCAATATAATTAGTTCAAGTTTTTGATCTCGAAAATGGCACCCTGGAAAGGCACTAGGAATCTACATGTACATATATATATAAGTATTCTTCAAATGAGTGCTTTAACATACAGAAGTGTCTTTAAAAAAAATTCACAATATAGAGACAAAAAAGCACTAGGTGAATTTGCTGTATTTGCTCTAGCCAAAAATATTTGAAGCACTTCATAGTAATGTCTACTGCATGTACATGTATCTCACAATGAATTCATTAGTGGTCAGTTTTATATGCAGGCAATTTCCAAAATATTCATAGCGTTTATTTGTGAAAAGAATATTTTTATCAAACTGTATCTAAATTCTGAAAAGTTCATTTTGCTTTTATATAAACAATTTAAATCAAGGAAAAAACTACACGCACAAAATCAATATAGCCAATGATAGACTTGACTATAAAATTTCATATCTAAGTTTTCCCAAATTCCCATGCATTTGATAATGAAAATCTCATGCTCATTCTCATATTTTTTTGTTTTTGTTTTTTAAAGAGGAGTGGGAATAATAGCACATTAATGCACTTTTTTTTTTTTTACTTGAATGTGCAATGAAAACTAATGTCTTACAAATGAAACTTTATTTTGCAAAACCTTTTCTTGTAAAATGTCATCATCTCAATACTAATTTAATACTTAAGTACACTTTGTCTCTGATTCATAGTAGTTTTAGACCTTGGAATAATATATCTATCGAAAAGGTAAATTTTATACATGTATAAGTTTTGAATACAACCATGCGGGGGAAATTCAGAATACAAACTTAATATTCTATTAATATTCTTCTGAATACATGTAACACGTGGCAAAACAAATTTCATGAATACATTTCATTTAAGTTGAAAATGCCTTGGAATACACATTTTGAGTTGTACAATATCATTATCAGGAAATTATGCAATCCATGCGATACATTAAAACCATATATGCATTATACAGTATTATACAGGCTATACAGTAACGTTTGAATAAAATCTTTGAAAATTCAATTCATAAATTTTGATTTTAATTCATTTTCTAGGGGTGTTTGTTTTTAACGGTCTAATACTTGATTTCCATAGAGTAGCACTTCTTTTGTTAAACCTGATTTTTAACAAAAAATGAAGCCCAGCATCGAGGATTAAGTTATGGAAGAATATGGCAATCATTCTAAAAAATAATCACATCATAATTATAATTCATTGCAATCGCACAAGTCTCACTGCATTCAAGCAAAATGCATGTGAAATGTCTAAACTAGACTCTACAGAATGTCCAATTGATCTGTTTCAAGTGAATATAAAAGAGCTCACATAGGTTATAATTTTTGCTAACAGAATATATGTACAAATCTATATGTACATTTTATATCAGGTTAGTACAGATAAGAATATATAAATAATGTGAATAATTTACAAATACAAGTATTTTCAACTTTATGTCCTATCTAATATGCGTATAACTTTAATACAACAAAGCACCAGTATAAATCTCCTAACTACTCAACTTCAACGACTAACGCCTCTACTTCAACGACTAACGATTTCACTTCATGAAGATATTTCATGAGATAACTAGCGATATCCTTCGGTCTGAACTTTTGAAATTCTTTTGTGGGTTTATGCAAAGGTCTTTGGAGCACATCTGTTTTGGGGATGGTAGATTTAAATCTCCACTGTTCCATCGCTTCTGGCTTTCAACAGATGACATCTCCCTTTACGATTGGCACACTAAGTACATAGGAATACAAATTCAACATATACAATCGATAGATGTTTATATGATAGTCTCTTACCTGTAGCAATCTCATTGCTTCATTTAACACACAGGCTTTTAATTACATGTTATCAGTAAATCCAAACTTTCAGGTAGTCAGGCACACTGCACAAGCAGCAGGGATCATCTTTGGTGAGTGACGTAGCAATTCGCAAGGTGATAACGACAGGCGACTGAGTTCAAAGGTGACACGCGATACACGATGCAAAAATAAAGATGAGATGTGCAAAGAGTGAGCTATTAATATAGGCACTGGTGGGGAACCTGGGCCGGTATTCAATTCAATACTTAGCATAAGTAAGAAATTTACTAAGTAAATGGCTATTAAAGTTAAGTAATTGACTTATCTCGTATTCAAATCGCATTTTAGACTTATACTTACGTAAGACAAAATTTAAGTAAAATACTTACTGATAAGCATTGTGACGTCACACGGTCAATCAAAAGTAATGCGCAATTGATGCATTGCAATAAATGCGCGCTGATATAATTGTGCGCGGGATACAATACTGCGTAAGAAAACCATATGCCTGCCAATCAAGGCCACCAAATAATTGGCTTAAGTCTGGTATGCAGTTGGCTTAGATTGAAAGTAAAATACTTACACAAAAGTGTGAATTGAATACCAAAATTGGCTAAGTATTTTATGTAAGCCAAATACTAAGTAAAAAGTTTAAATGTTGTACTTAAGTATTGAATTGAATACGGGCCCTGGGCCCTGTTTCACAAAACTTGTCGTCAATGACAAGTTACAGTAACTGTTATAAGCTATTGAAAACAAGCCATTTGATTGGCTGAGAGCAAATTGGTCATGGAACTTTAGCATTTGTTATTGATATCTAGTTTTATGAAACAGGGCACCCAGGAGTCTCAAGTTTGACGGACATAGATTTATACAAGAACTCAAATGCTCAAGATTCTTATTATTACTATAACCCGGTGATTATCAACGCATTTTTCCCCCTCCTTCTTTTAAAGCATGACATCAATTTTAGAATCTATGAGCCTGCACCAATGCTCTACAGTATAGGGATTTATCTTATCCTTTGGATAAGACTCACAGCTGTAGGTCCCCTAGTTTCTTCATGACATGAACATGTGCTTACTTGCTGGCACCTACAGTAGAATAATCACTAATTCTATTTTGCCTTGAGCTTCTTATCCATCAGAGACAGCTACATAAATAGCAAACATTTTCTTCAAGCTTTATTGGCCAAACTTCAGGTCTTCTCAAAAAAATCTTTGGTTGCAAAATTTTTCCATCATGTTCTGAATAATCCACATAACCATCCTCATTTCAAATAAACTTTATTGCAGATGATTTCAATCCTCCAAACAGCATTTCTTTAAACAATTAACATATTTGCGAAAGAAGTTTTTGAAGCTCCTAAAAAAGAATCATGGATTAAAAGAGGTGCTTCCACTGATTCTCTCTTCCTTCTATCATGGTGTATGTGCATGTACACTGCATGTTCCCAGGCAAGTGGTAGTGGATGGAGGTCCCTTCAATTGTGATCCTTGCCGGACTTCAAATATTAAACAGCTTAATGTGAGTGGATTATAGACCTCATCTGCTTCTGTGATCTCCTTCGAATCCTATCATCAAGTGAATCAATCAATTTAGATGATAAGTGACGTTCTAAAGCATCGTGAAGCTTGAAGTAGTACATGAGTACTATCACTGCTATGCTACGCTCACTAAGTTCGCTAAAAATATATCCATTCTTTCTACAAGCTAGGAATGCAGAGTTTGGAATCCCACCGAATCACATGACAGGTTATTCTCCCTCAAGGTGAAAGGCCTAAACGTAAACTGTAGTACATCGTAAAAAAGCTTTGGAGACGTACTGTTGGCAATAGTCAATTACTGCGTCCATTCAATTTTGCTACTATCTATCCAATGTCGACTATAATGGTGCTACCTGCAACAACATCCACACGTCTAGTTTGCAACACACTTTAATTCAAATTGGAATGCACGGGTGTAAACTTCACGCACTATCTCTCTGCGAAGGCTCTGCTTTAATATATATATATATCATCTATCGAAGATGGAAGGCACTGATCTGTGTTCTATTCCACACAAAAATTGTCCATGATTCTGGCACCCTATCATATGAGTCGCTCCTCTGGAGGCATTTTCAGGACGTTGTCCATCTCGACGAACGAGCCGGTCATCTCCTGCCGGCTGGGGCTGTACGATCCCTGTGTCGCCCTCTTTTTCCTGACCGAACATACGAAGAAGGAGAGTAAGATGATGACGATGATAAGCACGACTGCCGCGGCAAGCGACGCTCCGATGATGATCCAATTAATGTTAGTTGCCGTCTGCAAGGAAGCAAGAAAAGTGAATGGCTAAATAGTGAGGACTTGGTCGTGGGCTAATTTAAACACAAGAGAAATTGATTTATTATATTAAAATCAGATTTCAGATTGATATGAGAGAAATTGAAGAAAAACTATCTTTTAGAAGTTCCAAAGGAAAATGAAGACTTCAAAAGTTGCACACAGAAAGATGAACAAACTTTATTACATGTGTAACTTTAATCACATCTTACAATATTAAGCAAATGTTTTAAAAAGGAGATAAAATTATTGCATATCTATCATTCCATAAAGTAAATGCAAAGTATTCATGAATATCCTTTTGTAAGGAATATTTCTAAAATTGCTGCTTTTTTTATTGAATCTCCTTCTCAATATCAGATTTTTATATTTCAGTTGTACCAGCCACATGAGCTTACCACAATCCCAACGCTTTTCGGGCCCCTATGTTCAACTTTCACCATTTGAAATTGTGATGAACCAGCACACACAACAACAAAAAACCACTTCTGACGATGCTTTCAAAGCATGATTCTACATGAAAGTGTTACATATCAAAAATGAATATTAGCATTCACACTGAACTTCAACCTCTTAAGGCCTGTCTGTACTAGTTTGGCCAGGAGGGATTAGACCACCTAGGGTGGTCACTAACAGGTGGCTATCTGATCAAATCAGCTGTCAATTAACATAAGAAAAAGGGGATCATGTGGGACCAACAGGCACCGATTAGGCATTATTTGCTATACAGAGGGCGCAAGTATAAGTAGTGCAGTGGGGCCTTAAACAGTTTTACTTACATTTTCGCAGTTGTCGCCTGAGTAGCCGTCCGCACATTCACACTCATAGGTCGGCGTCGCGTCCAAGAGAACACACGTTCCTCCGTTCTGGCAGATACCTTCCGTGAAGCAGGGGTCCATAATAAGGCACTGCGGTCCCAGGTACCCTTCTACACACTCGCACTTGTAGCTGCCGGGTTCCTCCTTACATGTCCCTCCGTTGCTACAAGGGTTGACGGTCGCGTTGCACTCCAGGATGTCTTCCTCACAGTAAGTTCCTTGGAAACCTAGAAGAGATGAATTATGATGATGATAAGTATCTCACTCCTATTAATGACATAATACAGAGAAACCTTTTTATAAAGACCGCTTAAGGGAGACAAGCAAAACAGTCTTTACAAGCAGGTGGTCTTTATAGACAGGTTGCCCTAGTACACGTTTCATTTGCAAAAAGGGAAACAAAATGTGCATCACAACTCCCAAGTATCACTCTCAAAACACAATGATGTGAACATTAAAAAAGGAGGAAATGTTTTAACTCTTGCTAAAGACGAGCACTCAAAAGTCCCAGAGCCCGTCAAATATGTCCTATGGGACCTATGGCTCCAATCCTATCCAAAGCAATATTCCTACGTATATGTCAAACAGATAATATATCATAATGGTACATTACAATTTAGAAAATAAAATCATTTACCGGTAGGTGATTGTTAACATGGTACATGTACTTCTTTCCATGAACCTATGTCTCCCCTCAAACACGTGATAAAAGCTGGTTTGACTTTGTGGTAAATGCTTACTGAGTCACAGACCACCAATTCCAGTGTCATGATCAGTCAAAGAGGCTGTTCACACCGGCAGAGATAGCGTGCGCTAGACCGCGCTATCTCTGCGGTTTGGAAGGTACAACGTCGTTTCGGTCCGCCCAACAGCTAGCCACGGCGAGCCAAAACGGCGTGCCACTGGAGCACCTCTTGGGGGTGGTCAACCAGAGATAGCGCGGTCTAGCGCGCGCTAGAAAAATAGGGGTGCTACGATAGACCGCGCTATCTCATTGCGGTGTGAACAGCCTCAGAGATATCAAACACACAAAGTGTATTGTACATGTACTCTCCATGACCTTCTCCGAATCAGAAGATAGGGTTTTTTGTTATTTTTAGGAGTACGCATTGTTATAAGAGATACAGGTTTCTTTCAACAATCAGCACATTCACATACATTTTTCAAAGAATTACAGCCCCTCTAAAGTGTTGGGAGCCCCAAATTTGAAGGCAAAATTTCACTTAAATTGTAACATAATGTGAAACGGGATGTCTTTAAAGGAACACTTCTGCAAAGATTTCCCCCCCAAAAAAATGTGTTTGAAGACAAAAATTGATAAAAGAGTATAGGTACATAATTTAAATTTTCTGTTGTATGCAGAAAACCTAAATTTTGTATTTTTTCATCAATATTTGATTTGAAACACATTTATTTTTGAAAATCCATGCAGAAATGTGTCTCAAATGACATCTTTTTCCACATTATAATACAATTTGAGTAAAATTTTGCCATCAAATTTTTGGAGCTCCCAACACTTTAGAGGGGCTGTAAGATTGAAATTTCACTTTATTGATCCCCATATTCCTACATGGATTTAAACAAATTATTACTCCATATCATTTGTTGAAAAATTATTAGTCCCAAGTTTGTCTTGAAGTTGGAAGGCATGTTCGTAAGTAACTGCTACGTATGCTTGTTTGATTTCAGCTTTGCCTTTAAAATGAGACACAGACAAGCTACAAGTAAATAGACAGCAGCACTTTAATAAACACCTTTAGCCTCAATGAGAGAGAGAACGCGCACATGGTGTCTACTTCGTTAGCGGCTCAGGAAATTTGAGGTTATGTAATTAGGAAATAGTTGGATGTTCTTTTTGGCAGCTCAGTGTAGATTTCACTGTGGAATGTGTTTTACATCACTCAACAGAGTGGGGGAAAAACATGCCGGAGGGGAAACACACCTTGCGAGATAACACAATTTTTCCATGTCACAAACATGTGGAGGAATACACACCTAACTATTTTATCTCCTGATTTGGGAAGGGGAATTAATATTTGGGACATCCCAGTATACACTGATAATGTTCGTCTGGTGACCCCTACAAAAAAAAGTTGTCAGAAGGAACATGAGACCAACTTGTTGGCCTTGTGGGCTTGCGATCTCCTGGGCCGTCTATTTTGTGGTCCTTCTGGCGACTTGTCAGAAGGTTTGCGAGACTATTAAACATTGTCGGTCCAGTGGGCCTTCTGAAAACTTTCCAGATGGTTCCCTAGACCGATAATGTCAGTTTCATGGGCTATTGGTATCACAGACTGTAGCGTTTGCACTATCCACAAACAGTTCATAGACTTTTGTTTCTAAACATGTAATTCCAAGAAAGGTTTACTCAGTGAATCTTGATAGACTAATTAATTAGGGTCATCCAACAAAATTTGCAAAGACAAAAAACTGTTTCATCAGGAAGAGATAGCATCATTACAAAAATGAGCATGTGAACAGCCCTCTGAAGTACTCCCATATTGTGACTGTGTGTGAACAGCCTCCTCCAGCACTCCGATGTGCATGTACATCTAGTACTTCTCAAGTCTCAACTAGCTGAAGATTACTTTCAAAGAGACATTGAGTCCTTTACTGATGCTACAAATATCAAATCCCATCATACAGACAAACTATCATACTGCAATGGTACAGCACAAAAATTGGGAGAAACAAGAAAGAGTGAGGCAGAGAGAAAGAGGGGGAGGGAGAAGAGGGAGGGAGAAGAGGGAGGGAGAAGAGGGAGGGAGAAGAGGGAGGAGGAGAGAGAGAAAGAGAGATTGAGAGGAAGAAATAGAGCAACCTTTTAACCTTGATCTTCAAAATTCCTTGTCTACGAGTAGAGGAATATCAACTGTTTGATTAACCAAAGTATTATTGTCTCATTCTGAACGTCTTAATGTGAAGGATCACAGATTAATCTGTTACATTTAGGAGTCTCTGCTTAAGATCACTTGCAGACTACGTTTATACTAGAATGATCCTTGTAGCCTTGCAAAGCAGACATAGGAGATGTGATCAAACCCGGAAAGTCTTTTGCCCTGTTCATACTTCAAATTAGCCATTACAAAGGTGCACTTGATCACTTTATCTGCATCTGACAGGACCCAGATTTTATCATTCTTCCTATACACTGTACATACATGGAAGTACAGGACTCATGCTTTTTTCATTCTTTCAGCCTAAACTAGTGCTGTAACATCACGGATATCTCCAATTCCGTTTAACAGCCAGTCAAAACCGGACGGTTTTCGGTTAAACGATTTATTAAAAAAAATAATAATATTGGCCTTGTGAAAAAGCGAGAAGGACTGCGAGGTGATTTAACTGAAGGCGCCGATTTGTGCTTGTGAACTAGTCACAAATAATAGTAACAATGTCGTTTTAGAATAATGTGTAAGATCATTAATGTAAATTAAAAACAGTAGAGGACCTAGGATAGAACCTTGTGGTACACCATGTGTTAAACTTGGATGAATATATATTGAGATCTATTACAAAGATTACTTTCAAACCAAGATGACAGACAAATTGGAGTGTTGTTCTAGTTTCCAAGTGGTAAGTCATCACACCGATTACTGAGCTGGGAGACATTGCCAGGCATAGTGCCAGGTGGAGGGGCATAAATCGAAACTTTAAAAAACGGGAAAACGAAACCGTCCAATTGAAAACGGAATCCGCCATGGGCGGTCGGATACCGGACGGTTAAACGTTTGACTACAGCACTAAGCCTAACCATATCAATGCTTTTAATCTGTACCAAATACATGTACCACCAAGCAGTCAGGAATGCGATGCCTGTATACCTGTATCGCAGTTCCGTGCCTCATTCATACTTCCAGGCTAAATTGGACTGAGCCATTGCTGAGCTGCCAGACTCTGCAGGTTAGGAATGCTAAACCAACCCCAAATCAACTGATTCTTGGCCATTTGAAGGTCTTGTAAATTCATGTTCAGAATGCTGTCCGTCGCGCTCTCTCTCTCTCTCTCTCTCTCTCTCTCTAAAGGGATTTTCCTGTAAGCACTTATAAGCAGATACTCATTAAAATTCCATAGGCAACACTCACTTCTTATACATTTACATTTACCTATCACTCCAAAATATTATATAAAATACCAAGGTGATTTGATCAGTGACTATCACAATGGAATATAACAATAGCACTATAGTAGTAGAGCGATAATCTTGTTACCACAAGGTCCCGGGCTCAAAACTAATTTGACGCTCTAATGCCATTTGGTAAGGCATTAATCATCATAACCAAGTCCCGCAGAGAAAATGCTAAACTGTCAGAATTCTAGTTGCGTCTTTACAAGCATATGCTTCCTATAATACATTACCGGTATGTAGCAGTCAGGTTTTAAAAGCAAATCATCATGAACTAATTAAACATCTACATGTTGCTATCACATTCTAGCATACCGGTAAATGTATGCTATTTCAACTGATATAAATTTACAGAAAGTAATACTTGAAAGGATACATTACCAGATATAAGGTTGTGCATGTATGTAAATATAGCATGAATTCCTCTAATGGTACATGCACAGTACTTCTTGTTCAACGCAACATTTATTTTTCCTTCCTTGTTGACTAAAATAAATCTCTCTAGTGAACCCTCCTAAGCTCTCAAACAATGAATTAACATGGACCAAAGTCCTTGCTCCACATCCCAGCACAGTCAAATTACTTTTATGGTGACAATAAGTCATAACAGCCAAAATATTTGCGGAATTGTAAATTATAACATGTTTGGAATAGCTAGGATTCTGCCTTTGTTAATAGTTGCATCCGACTCTGTCTGCTTATGCATGTCTGCCTACAATTAGTGTAACCATCATGATAAAATAAGGTTCCCTCTTTTCATCTCCCCCCTCCTTCCTACCCACTTCCCCCCCCCCTTTTTTTGGGGGGGGGGGGGTACAAATTACTAATAAACCTTGTCAGAGCCACAGGCATTTGAAATTATATGCACTTTTATAAAGATTGTAACAAATCTAATATCTTGACACAAACAGACGATTATCTATTTTGGTCAGATTCTATATGATACAAAATCTGAAATTTCTTTGATCATACATACATGTATATACATATGTATGTATTGTGTTTACAGCCACAAATATCGAGCCAACAAAAGCCTACAAAAGTTTCATTCTTCACATGACCTGTAGAGCTAAAAGAGTCACACTGTTCACCAAAAAGAATAATACCATTTTTACTGCTCTGTTTGTCAGCCTCAAGACAGAATGGTAAAATATTTGATGCAAAAGACAAGGCTATGCTTTATGACTTGAAAACAAATATGTAGGAACAAATGTTTTTCTTTCTATTCTGTATGCTGGGTCAACATAGGGTCAGGATTGTATGGATTCACTGAATCATGAAATGAATGGACAACTATTAAACTATATCTGATTTGATGACTTTTGATTGACAAAAAGAAAATGCCATAAATTTTCTTTTCCCCCTTTATTTGAGCGGTATACAAATGTACCTTTAACTATTTGAAGGCATATGTTTGTTCAATTGAGAGATTCTATTTTGTAGAATTTAGTAAAAAGAGGCTCTGGACCAGCGCAGCTGAATATATTTTGTATAAAAGCTGCGCTATATCAATTTATTATTATTATTATTATTATTAACTACACCATGTATTTTGACCAACTACCATTTCCTAAAACTTCTAATATAACCATGACTACTTCTACTACCCCCCCCCCCAAAAAAAAAAAAATTAAAAAAATTCACTACTCCTACATGTCCTGCTACTTTATTATCATACAGTCATTAATACTGACAAGAAAACTACATATAAAAATACATATGTATTAAAATCAAAATGATAGAGTATTATAAAAATAGGAAATTTGAAAAAATTTAACATTTGTTTCTAGAAATTTATATAATGTAGTGTTACAAATATCAGTCACAAACACAAGAAAGGTGTAAAATCTGAAATATATATTGACTTGTTCCAGTCACAGGAAAAAATTTAAAATCTGAAAGAAATACTGTGTACTGTACCTGTTCCTTCACAGTTACATTCGTAGCCATTGACAAGATCTGTGCAGGTTGCCCCATTGACGCACAGGTTATCGACGCATTCATCAATGTTGGTTCCGCAGTTCTTGTCGGTATATCCCGCTACGCAGGTGCACTCATAGTCGTAAGGCAGGTCTGTGCAGGTGGCCTCGTTTAGACACAGGTTGCTGGCGCAGTCGGGCAGTTTGATTTCACAAACTATACCTGAATATATATCAAGGGATAAAAGGGATGATGAGTGTGGTTTTAGGACAAGCTTGTGCAGTCGGCCCAGTTTTCACGTACATAAAAGTTGCTAGCTTGATCTCATAAACTCTACCTAGATAGGTATAGTGTAAAAAATGAAAGTGATGAGGAGGGAGAAGATAGGGCAAGTTTGTGCAGCTAACCCAGTTTTCACAAAAGTTGCTGGCATAGTTTGGCAGTTTGAATTCACAAACTCTATCTAAAAACGTATAAAGTACAGGAGGAGATGGAAGTGATGATGAGTATGGTAGCTAGGCCCGTTTTCACAAAAGTTGGTGCCGCAGACTACCACTTGGTTTAAAAAATGACATGAGTTGTAATGCACAGTTCCAAAATATACAGTACATGTACATGTATGTTATTCAAACAATGTACATGTATCCAACACATAAAAAGGAGCTACGATTTAAATTTGATGGACTTTTGATGAATTCTAGCATAATATGATCACAACCTAGCCAATCAAATGCAAGGATTTCAGTGGCTAATAACGATTATCACTCTTTTTATTGATAACAAGTTTTATGAAACAGATCTCTGATCTTTACTATAAAAAGAGTCATTTCCAAACTGCAATCACAAGATTCAAGATCACAACTCATCTAACAAGCAAAAGAATCCTTACACAATGTACATGTACGGTGTTAGTACATGTTCGTAGACATGTAACTATGACACTCGTTAATCATTCCTAACGAGCTCACTTACCACTGTAACCCGGCGCACACGTGCAGGTGAAAGTCACCCTGTCGGACGTACAGTTACTTCCCTCTTGCTGACAAGGGTTGCTGTCGCACCAGTCAATCTCGTTCTGGCAGTTCGTGTCGTTGAAACCCGTCAGGCAGGAACACTGGTACGTGAACGAGTCGTCGGCGGGGTCCAGCGTCTGGGAGCACGTGCCTTCGTTCTGGCAAGGGGGATTGATGCAGGGGCCCGCAAATTGGCAACGCGTACCTGCGTGTCGGGGAAAGGGGGGAAATGTTTAAACTCATAAAACTATTGGCACTTTTTTCCCTACAAAGAAAAAAAGTACAGTGAAACCTGTATATAAAGACCACCAAAGGGAGACAAGAATCTGTCTCTATAGGCAGCAGGTCTTAATGTTCAGGTTCCTTTTAATGCATGTGTCAATGTAAATCGATGTTCAAGGGAGACAAAAAATGTGGTCTTAATAGAAGTGTTCTTTCTATACAGGTGTTTGCTACAGCAGGTACGACTTCATCAAGCTTGGTTTATGAAATGTTGTATTATCATTATCACAACCTTTGACACAATATATCAACCTAACTGTATGCAAACATGTACAGAGGCAAATGAAGATGGGGGGGGGGATCCTAATTTCTATAGATTAAGAGATATTTTGAAATGAATTTTTGACCTCCTATATTTCCTAACCCCAAAGATACATGTACTCTCACTCCAGTCAAATTAAAAATCCTTAAGAACATCTAGTTTTAACAATATGTGAGAAATTCATTTCATATGTACACAATTTACTTTCGGAGATTTGCCTGTATTCATCAATGTAATTAAAGCATTATGTGATTCATATCTTAAATTTTGGCAAGACTATATCATTCTTATTGCTACAGTTTGTCAAAATTTGTGGCATTTTTGTCACATATATATATTTGAATTATTGGAAATAATAATCACTGATACATGAACTTATAATTCCCAACAAACTACGACATTAACATTGTAGAAAGGGAGAGATAAAATCAGTCTCCAATAAACCTCTTATGCCTAAAGAAATTAAATCATTGTGAATATATGTGGCAGAATTATATTATTTCAGCTCTGCTTCTTTTATGTAGGAATTATGACAAATATGCTTCTGAGAAAATAAAATTTGTTTTTACATTTTTGTGACATAGTACAGTGTACATACAGTATTACATACCTTGATAATCTGTTTTTTTTCTTCTTTCTATTTCGTTCCCAACCGTAATTAAAATAATTGTACAAAGAAGATTAATGAGCAGAAAAATTACTGTATAAAGGCAAACAAATATTGTAAAGCACCATGACTCACTATTGTGTATAGGCAATTAAACCAAAATATCTCTCTACAAATGCCAGTGTTTTTTATAAACATGATCTGTTCTATAGTTTGATGAGACCATTTCTCTCTGACAAGTCTCAAATTTTAGGTTCTGTCATTACTCTAATTTCACATGCAAGTTGATCATTTCCATATCAATATAACGAGTAGTGGTGAACTTTAAAACAAACATACAACAGACAGAAAACGCAGAACAACATACAGTACAAAAGTCATACAAACACTGGGACAAGCAAATAAACATTAACAGCAATGCAAACAAGAAAAAAAATGCTTGCTCACTTTCAAGACAAACAGTACAACAACAACAAAAATAACACAAATTATAACACACACATAAAAAAACTTGTTGAATGAATGTATCATGTACTGTACATGTACATGTGTATGTACACTGTACATGTGCCACAAAATTACATATTTACAGTGTACTCTCAAATAGCAATTTAAAGATGAAGTTGAGTTCTGGTCATGCGATTGCATTGTGAAAGAAACGGTGTGGAACCGACCAGAAAAGGTTGATCATTTAGCATATAAGAATTTGTGTGTATTGCAAGGTTCTGGAATCATCAAATTGATAAGAAATTTGGTAAAGTAACAAACACTGTACACAGACAGATGTATATGGGACTACACGAACACGTGGCGTAAAAAGCCGACCCCCGACTTTTACGATGTTACATGCATATTTAGAATGTGAAGGCATTTGAAGAGCCATGCTTTTCAGGGAACATGTCTTATCTGATGTTCTTCCACACTTGCATAATGAGAATGAGTAATGCTCACAAATTATTTTTCACCTCTTCCCAGAACTCAACCTTCTCTTTAACATCAATGTGTATTCAAGTCTTCTGCTATAATAAATGTCTTTTTTTAATAATATTACTATCAAATATATAAACTATCAAAGATTTCAAAACAATCAGTATTCAAAACTCACCCACAAACAAACAGGAACATAAACTGTACATATACAGTACAAAATACGACACAACACAGAGTGTTTAACACAAACACAGCAAGTAAAATATAGATTTAGAGAGAGAGAAAAAAACATAGGGGGGGGGGGTGAGAGAGACTGAGAGAGAAAGAGGTAGAGAGAGAGAGAGAGTGAATGAGAGAGAGACTCAGACAGAGTGAGAGTGCAAGAGAGTGAGTGAGTGAGTGAGTAAAAGGGAGAGAGACAGAGATACTTATTACAGACCTCACTCAGAATGACAAGAGTATCGTGATGTGTTGAATAGAAAACGAGGTGCTATCTGATTAAAGCTGGCCTTCAGTTGTTGAACAGCTGATCGTATGACAATGGAAACTACATGTAGATGTTATTAGAAATATATTGTATGTTTGGAGATTGGGGACATTGATAGTATAAATAATGATTGTTTTGTATGATTGAATTTTTAGATAATGTAGGAGGTTCTTTCTGTTCATGTTATGACATTACCTACAAGAACTGAGTGACTCATGAATTAAAGTCTCTGGAAATGTGAGAATTCATTCAGTGTTTTGACTAGCTATGATGTATGTATACATGTACATGTATGTCATGAAATACGAGTACATGTATATAGAAATGTATAAGATAGTTTTCTATGCATATTTATCATACATTTACATGTACACTGTATGCAATAAAATATCTGCATTGTGATGTAATACACATGATGTATTTTACATTAAGATAAACATACCCCCCCCCCCCACACACACACAAACAAAAAAAATAGCAATAATAATAATCATTATAATGCTAATTAATACTTGTTTAAAGAATAATAATAATGAATTAATACAAAAATTTAAAATTATTTTAAAAAAGTTACAGAAAAAATATGAAAACAGTCACATCATTGTATTCTATTATTTGCAAGTTACCATACAAGTTTTGGTTACAGCATGGAACTATTAAAATAACATCCAACAAAATGTAGCGGTACTGTACATTCAAAAATTGATTCTCAATAATATTTTTGTTTGTTTTTGCTTTTGTTTATTTATTTGTTTTTTCCTTAGTCTGTTTTTCCTTATTCTCCTGGATTCCATCAACTATTGGATAGTACAGTGTACTTGTGTCTGTTCATTTTAGTTGAATATATGCATGCTCATTTGTTGTGGAATTTTCAATGCCAAAATAACTTCTTCTTTTTTTAAGTACAACTTATATAATTATACTTGTACAGTGTAGAATATGAAGTAATGATGAGCCAGATTGAGGTGAGATGCGAGTTCAAAATTATTTCTAGATTGTAATAATGTGATAGACTGTAAAAGAAATTTGTTCATTTTTAGTTGAAAGAAGAGGAATTAGTTCACCACTACCCATTAGTTCCTTTAAAGCAGGCTACAATTTTGTCTAGCTGTTTACATGGTACTTTTCAACCAACTACACATTATACTACATAAGAATGAAATATATTTCAGAACTAAATGTAACTGTAGTACTAAAGACATAATATTAGAGTTTTGACAAACAAAGATACATTTTGAAACAAGAATTTCAAAAAGAGATATTAGTAAAATACAACGATTCACACTGCATTCACATTAGATTTGTTTCATGTACGCTTGACAAGAATTATTCGGTATATAGTACATATTCTTTCCCAAGGAAAAGTTAGTATTGTTCGGAAACTGAATCTGCATGCAAATATTCAAAGGCGGCGTACAAAATGTAAATTTTTCATCTATCCGGTACCTAAATGTCAGCTTACAACTTTCTTTTCCAGACAACCAGAACCAAATTTTGAGGGGGAAAAAAAAAATCACAAGGCCAAATTAAACCCTCTTCGCTCACTTTAAAGGTGTTCCACAGTAATGTCAGAGCTGCTCTGACCTAGCTGGTTATGTTTTCACAATGCACAATGTCTGGAGTTCTTGATATACATGTAGTGCATAGTAAAATTTGATCAGGGCAGCTAAGATGCGCACGTACATTACTGTAGAACATCGTTATTAAAAAATGTACATGGGCAAGAGACTTTGTTATATATGAGCTACATTGTGTACATAGCTTTGCTGATTTTGTGTCGGCGTACTCTACATGAAACAAATCAGAGTGGCAGTGACATTCACAACAGAATAAAGAACATAATGATCGTTTCTAGACTGTAACACAAAGACAATACAAAGATGTGTCCGCTGCATGAGAGAAAGGAAGTATAGACCATGGATAGTAAAAAGAGAATATCTAACAAGTCTGCTGAGAGCCAGAAGGATGTTAGCTCCACTAGTGTAGCATTTTGCAGAGTGTTCAACCATGGACCTACTACATGGTTAACCAATTTAACATCCTTTACACTCTCAAACTAAATTTTGCTATAAGGTAATGATGTTTAGATTATAATTATTTGAGAAAACAGGAAAATTTAAGGTCGAGGGTAAAGTGAAACAATTTCAAAATGTGAGTTTGCGGGCATTCGCATTATAGGCTAAAATCTAATTATAGACCACAGGAATAAATACGAAAAAGAATCAACAAGTAAGTAATACACACAAACGTGATTTTTTTAATTTTTTTTTAAATTTCTTAAATTGCAAGTAAACATCTCTAGAAAGGAAGAAAGTTGTATGTTAATACTTTCTCAAATATCCTTGTCAATATCGTATACAGACGGTAACCGTAAGGCATTCTTTTCACGTCATGTACATTTCCATTTCAAATATCCACAAACTCTGAAAGATATTTGTCAGAAGATGGATTTAAAATCATAAAGCCTTGAAGTAATATAACCTTTCAAAAAAGTTGGTTCCCCTTTTATGGTTAAGCTTAATGCATACTGCTCGCAGCCCCTGTAGATATTATAAAGCAGGTTACAATATAAACTAATAATTGCAATCAGGCATGCTGTTTCAGCAGCATTAATGCTAAAAAGCATCACATAGCTTTAAGTAGCATTTAATTCAATATATATATAAGGATTTTTAAAAAACTTTCCCAGGTCCATACGCCCTTCTCCCATGCAGCCAACGAAAGTGGAAAAGCCCAGAGAAATTTCCAGGAGAAAGATAGTACCTTCGTTAAACTCTATACAGATGCACCACCAGGAGCTTGTTCCCCAGTCCACACTACAAAGCCCGCCGTTCTGGCAGACGACAGCCGAACAATCGGCCACTTCGCACACGTCCCCTACATATCCCAGGGTGCAATTGCAAAGGACACTATCGGGGGACTCAACGGAGCATTGACCGTCGTGCTGGCAGGGATTGGGACTGCACGGGGCAATTTCGCAGTTTCGACCAAAGACACCCTCGGGGCAAGTGCAGGTATAGTTGCCCTCAGTGTTAGAACAGTTGCCTCCATTTTGGCAAGGGTCAAGGGTCATGCATTCATTGACATCTACGTCACAATGCACGCCTGTGGAATACATTTGATTATTTGGTATACATCATTAATGCACGTTTTGGTGCAAAGGGCCAGAAAACATGAGAGGGCAGTATTCACAAATTTAATTTTGTATGAATTGAATGAGAATCACAAATTTGATATTTTGGAGGGGTAGGGGTAATATGTTTCTCAAATAAATAAGGTAATTTTGAAGTTAAAAATGAAGGTTCCATTTGAAATATAAACCAAGGGCAGCGAGATAAAGGGGAGAGGGGAGGAAGAATTTAAAAGGAAAAAATATTCAAATATGCTTTATGCAATTTCAATTGAATAGAATCAATGTTTGATTTCTGTTTAATGAAATATTTTCATTTTCGATCCAAATCCATGCAAAAATTGAATGAAAACAACAACTGGGGTTAGTTTTTGACCAACAGATCGGGGGGGGGGGAGGCTCACATTCACATGGGGCATGCCTTTCCTTCATGTACGTGTACACTTACATGTACATGTATGAGTGTGTTAGTGGTCTCGGAGTAGGGAACATCGCAGGGTTAGCTAAAAGCGAGGCTTTATAGAACATGAGAGAGCAATGCGCAGTGCGTTGGCCTTAATATTTGGTTAGAAGGGTGTGATTGTTATGAATTTTAAAATGAAGAAAAATGTGGAGAACCTTTTTTTATTTAAATTTAATATCAGACTAATAAACAGCAAAAACAAATTACTATTGTTTTCCTGATAAAAGTGATGTGTAATAATGATGATGATGATGGTGATGATGATGATGATAATAATGACCATAATGATGTGATGACAAAAATGATGACAGTGATGATGATTATAATAATGAATATGCCATCGATTACAAAATTGATATAGTTGATTATAGTTGATATGTTCATGGAATATCTTCAGTGTTTGAAAGGAATGATATTAAATGGTTTAAACTGGTGTAAATATGTATGGCAAATTCTGCAGCGAACACAAATTCTGTGTTCACACGCATTCACAAAAATATGAAATAATGACTTAGAAGAATGTAAATATATGATTATAGGATTAGAAAAGAAGCAATGTTTTAAGGTTAAGGTGATGGATGTAATTTATTTTGTTATTTCGGCTTACTGATTAGTAGATTGAGTATAAAGAAATTATCAAGTAGAGAGAGGAAAAGACAGTTATTGAAGAAGCACAACAACAAAGACACAAACACAAAAACAAAAACAGAAACAATAATGATCTCTCATCAGCAGCATAATCAGTAAGTAACTCCTAGTCCTATGCACAAAATGGAAAATATTCCAGACATTCACATGCATCCTTAATACAATGATTGCTAATTTTTAAACAACCTCTCCTATTACAGAGAAATGGAAATTTATGAAGACTCTTGTACAAAATTAAATTTGGAGCGGTGCTCGAAAGGCATCACAAAGTTGCCAACTAGCATTAATAGATTACCCTTTGAAATTTCATAACTACATGTAGTTTCTTATCTGTTATAAGATTTTCATTCAAATTGTCACTGATCTGTTTCTCCAATTTGTCTGCTATTATTAAAAACCAACTTAATAATATCAAGGTAGATTGTCACTACAAACACGGCAATATCTCTCCAGTTATAGTTACGATGTCAAACACGACATTGATTTTTATTAAAAAGAACGTGCAAAATTAGTCAAATTAAGCGTTTCGCTGGCGGCCACCTTCATGCAGTGAGAGTTATTGTTAATTGGGTCATTCTTTTTGCATGCATATTAATTATCATTCTATGTGGAGGCATCATATCGTGCAAAACATAAAACTTCATGACAAATTCAGCACTTGTAATTAAAGTTCTGATGTAATTGGAACTGTACGTTGGAAGTATTAAAGCCTACACGTACATAAGACCACAAATTTCTGTTTAGTTTATTATTAATATGTACATTCAATTAATTACCAGCAATAGAATTAAACAAAATGTAAATCAGGATTAATCAGTTTCAATGTAAAATAGAATATACAATTAAGGTATAATATAAAGAAATTATTAAAACACACATAAGGTAATTGTGGTTTTAAGTAGGCCGAACATTTTCTTCAAGTAATATTTCCTTTCAACTGACTTTTTGATTATAGAATAAAACAATGATATCCACTTAAAAGAGGCGATGGAATATAACCTTACGTCTATGCATTGAAGATAAAATGTCACTGGGCTAGGGCTTGCTATTACAGGCTCAAGAATTGGCTCAAAGTTAGTCAGAAAAACTTGCTATTAAATGTAAGTTTATTTTGAGTTCTCATGATGAAAAAATATTCATAAATAATTTAAGAGGATAATGAAAATTGTCAAAGATTATGAAATAAATCCCATCAAACAAATTGGAGAGAAAAATTACAACAAGCAAAAGAAGAAGGCATTTTATTGGTTGAGCTGTCAATCAATATGCATTCCCATATATGTAAATTTATGTTGGTCTTTTGAAACTCACATAACTTTTAGTGGGCCAGAGTAATTTTTATTTAAATTTGCTTGTCTGAACAACCAATGCACCCCCTGATTAACAATTCAGGATCTAGACATTTAGTCTAGACTTGTAATTTCATAACAAGAACTGAAGATTATATGGAGAAAGAAAAAAAAAAGTCATTCGAAGATATGGAATCTTAAACTTACCTTCGTAATTGTCGGGACAGGCGCATGTGTAACTGTCAATCAGATCATCACACGTCCCAGCATAGCATGGGTTCGATAAGCATTCGTCGATATTGATATCACAAGATTGACCTGTGTAGCCTAGATAAATATAAAGGAGAGAAAAATATGTGGGTGAAATAAACCAGAACATGTCGAGGGGTCAGTGACACAAAGACGTAACTCTATCTTGGCCATTTTGAGAAAAAGTGGTTTATGTGTATTAAACTGAGCACTTTGGCCTTAACGAGTCTTATGTTTCACTAGCCATTGACTTTAATGAGGTATTGGGTGGAGTTAAGTCTTTGTGTTTCCTGGAAAGACCACATTTTTCTGAACATTTTGAAATTAAATACTCATTTTAGCAAAATATGGACATATATGTACGTCTTGGTGTCACTGAACCCTCGATGTGTAGTCATTGAATTAGAAATTTACTTTATTTGATGACAATAACATACTAGTAATTTGTAGTTGTATAGCACATATCACATTTGATATCACATCTCTATGTGCTTCCAGAGGACCTCCCCAGCTTTCAAGGGTAAATCTTACTACAAGGTACCTGCTTCTTGTATGGAAGATTCAGATAAATGTCTCAGCAAGTATGGTTGTACCACGGCAGGGATTTGAACCCCGTACTATGCGGTTCACAGTCTTGAAACTTATCCACTGGACTTCAACACCACTCGCCATTTTTCACAATTGTTTCATCCACATGAAAGTTTTTGGTTTTGCATTGCACTGTATTTCTATGTATGTATGTATGTACATTACGCATCTATCTATCTATCATTCTATCTATCTATCTTTGAGAAAGATAGGGGATGGAGAAAGTGAGAAAGAGTGAGAATGAAAGAGAGAATGACAGAGAGAGGCAGAGAGAGGAACGTTAAAAAATGTTTACCTGCTAAGCAATCACACATGAACTCATTCACACCATCCACGCATGGTGCTCCATTGAGACAAGAATCAGGCTGGCAGTCATCAATATTTGTTTGACAATCGTTACCAGTGTAGCCAGTTACGCACTGACAATCATAGGCCAACAACGTTCTGTCCGAAACACACGTAGCTCCGTTCTGGCACGGGACGGAAGCGCAGTAGTCAGTCTCATATGCGCAACGTGCACCCTCGTAGCCTGGGACGCAGGCACACGTGAAGCTGTCAGAGCCAGCAGGAGGATTGGGAACATCAGAACATGTCCCACCGTTTAAGCATGGGTCGTTGTCGCACGTTGCAGATATCTGCAAGAAAAAAAATGAAGATACATCTTATTTGTTTCTAAACTTGTAGCAGAAAACAGTGTTTCCAATATAAAACATAATTTTTTTAACTGGGTTTGGTACTGAAGAGACATGGAAAGCAATCATCCAAAATCTTTCCAAAATTTGCATCAACAAGTAAATTTTTGTTAAGTGTATTTTTCTCTTCACGGAATTGAGGTAGAGATTCATAGGAAGATAAAATAAAAATTGAAGCAAAGGTAACTTCTCCTTAATTGTGATATTTCTATTCATGGCATTGAGGTAGAGATTCAAGAGAAGAGCTGATCGATACACTGCCTGAACTTACATTAAATTCACACATTCTCCCTGTGAACTCTGCAGGACAATCGCAAGTAAATTCAGCAGTGCCATTTGTGCACGCCCCTTCATTCTGGCAGGGATCCGACGCGCACTCATCGATATCCACGCCGCAGTTGGTGCCTTCATAACCAGGTGCACAGGAACAGTTGTATCCGTTCACCAAATCAAAACATGTTGAACTGAACTGACATGGATCAGGGTCACACTCGTCGATGTTCGTCTCGCAGTAGTCCCCGGTAAATCCTGGAAGGCAGATGCAAATAAAAGCGTTCCATTGATCAGTGCAATTGCCGCCATTCTGACAAGGGGATGATGCGCAAACGTCGCGACCGGCATCACCAATAGTGACATCGGTGATGTCAATGGCATAGAACTGTTCCTCGTTGGTCGCGTTGTAGACGGACTGGTTAAAGAACGGCAACAAGAAGGTTCCGATGCGCACATCCTCTAGATTCCCTTCGTATGAAGTGTAGACGTCAAAGTAATCGTTGTTGGCGATATCTGTGCCTCCAAGGTATACTATCCCACTGCTGCCATCATTAACCACGTCGCTCAGTCCACCCTGGAAGGTGATTTGTTCCGTGACATTGAAGTTATCAATCGCAACTGTGACCTCCGGAGATGCAAAGGTAATCCTCACGTCATGATAAACACCATCCGAGACGGAATAATCAGGCACGATTTCATAGACGGTGCCCAGACTGCGAGCTTGTGTACCAAAGAAGAACCTGATGGATAGTTTGGAATCCTGGATGTCTATGGTGATGAAGTACCCTAGGACGTCGTTGGAGGAATGCAGTATTAAGCCCACATCTCTACGTGTCTGTAGTCGGAAGGTGATGGTGCTGAGTTCCCTGGTAGTGTTAAGGCTATTGTTGTACTTTATCATGCTTCCAGAACCACTGAATGTAGCTGGTGTAAGGCCTTTAAGAAGTGAGAAAAGACAATGAATATTACTGCAATGCAGAGAATACTTTCCTAAATGGTATAAAGAATATAACTTTTTCTTCAACATCTTAAAGTGTACCAATTACCTGACAAATAATTTGTGTATAGCTAGAAATGCATAAAATCAATCTAAAAAAAACTTTACCTGGCAAAGGTAAAGGGTAAAGGGTTGAAGAGTATGAAGAAAAATAAAAGATAACATTGAACCCCGCATATAGGGCCCACACAAAACCTAAGTAGAACTGGGGTTCTGTGTGAGCCCTATCCTATACAAGAGCGTATGCATGCCTTAACTAGAATACCATTGAGAATATATTTAAAGTGAAATATCTCTTTGTAGAAGTAATATTTGAAGCTCATATTTTGAATACAATTTAGTGACATGGAAGCCTTTACATCAAGATCAAAACATATTTTGGCGATTGGTACACTTTATATGTTATTTCTCGGGGGTCACTTTTATGGGTTTTGTTCATATACATGTATACATTGTTTTTCTTTGTGTTTTCAAACAACAGAACCTTACTTGTTTTTTTGTTTTTTTAAATCTGATGAACTCAGTAGCTTCATTGTCATCTTGGATAATGACTTCTATCTCAGTATGAATAGGCAGCAGGAACTGAAGTAAACTCATCTACTTTAAGGGAAAGAACCAAAATGAAGATCAAATCAAATTACAGTATAAAATATCATCTAAGGTCATAGAACTTACATTCATATCCTTCATCTCTGTCAAGACAGTCTGCACCCCCTGGACATGGGTTCACGGAGCAGATAGTTTCCTCCGAGCAGTTCTTCCCTCCATAACCGTTGGGGCAATCACATTCAAAGTCATTCCAGGTGATGCTGCAGATCCCTTCACTTTCGCAGGGTTCAGGATCACAAGTATTGTCACTGTTGCACATACTGATCACATTGGAGTTGGTGGCAACAGGAATGGAGTCGATCTGAAAGTCTACAATGTCCAGGGGGAAGAACTCCAAGGAGTAGTTGTTGTATTTGACATCCCAGAGACATCCCTTGAAGTACATGGAGCCCGAAACTGCTGCAGGTAGGCCAACAGCGTTGAAATCCGCTACACCTCCTACAAACATCTGGTCAAAAGAGGGCTCACTGCTGCCTGCAAGCACTTCCGTCTGAGGCAAGGATGAGTCCAGAGTGAGGCTCATGTTGGTTGATTGTCGGCTGAACTCTAGAGAATGGTACCTCCCATCAGAGACAGAATCAGATACCCTGAGGCTTCCAGTGGTACCGCCAAAGGACACGTCAGCAATAACAGAGCTGTTGTCTATCGCAAGTACGATGAAGTCCTGTCCTGAACCCGTGTAAAGGAGAAGTCCATCCTGTTCTCTGGTGCGGAATATTAGTCTGATGGTGTTCTCTGATTCGGAGAGGGGATATCCTGAGGTCTCAAACATGGCGTAGCTTGTAGTCTCCTCAAAGCTGAAAGTTCCCTGCACAAAGCCTAGGTTGAAAACAAAATAAAACCCAAGATTATCTCCTTCCATCATGATATCCTCCATTCCAGTATAAAAACTAGCTACTTCTTGACTTATTCTCGATAAATACTTTCACATATCCCAAACAGACAGGGTAGGGTGTGCTACTATTCTTTATGCAGAAAAGAAGAAAAACAAGTTTGGCTCGTTATTTGTTTATTCATCAAGGAAATTGCACACTGTTGACTTAAACATATCTTACTTAAGGATTGATTTCACAGGATGATTTGCAGGTAAGGGAACAAACAAATATTTGTCTTACGATTCTGCAAAACATTCTGGATGAAAGCAAAGGAGAAAGAAAGATTCTACGTTACATGTAGTTTGTGAACTAATATTCAAAAATGTCTTTTTCTTGATCAGTCAGTTGTAAAAACTAGAAAATAACTGCAATCATAAAGGAATATTTCTTATTGTTTAATATATATGCATGAATGTGCAACAAATTAAATGAGCCATTGACATTTAAAACCTACATGAAAATTCAAAGAGTCCCATTCTAATAGATTGGTATCCCCAAAGTGTTAATCTATACATTGATACGCATCCTACAGGCTGAAATACTGTAACCCTTAATAGTAAATGACCAAGCAGAATGAAACATGGCAACTGCCTGTAGAAAATATGTCCCTGTGTTCATATTTTGCCACACAAACATAAAAAGGTCTAAAAATGACTCGTTACCAGTAACACAAGGTCATTCTTACCATGCTTCACCATTTATCTGATAGGCTTGTCCATTTCCTATGTTCATCATAATGTGGGATATGTACTCACTTGTTTCACAACTGGGACCAGTGTATCCAAGCCGACATTGGCAAGTATAAGTCCACCAGAGATCTGTGCATTCTCCTTGTCCATTGCAAGGGTCGGGGTCGCACTGTAATGTCCTGGAACAGCCACTCTCCGCGTGTTCAGTAGGATTTGTGGCCATGATGAAATCGTCTGATGACGTCTGCTTTACGTCCCTCATGCATCCAGTGTAGGCGTTGTTGGTAATAGGTCCTGCATAATTTGTAGGCACATGACCAAAATAGACAAGGCCGAAGTCAGAGAGTTGGGAGTTAAAGGTGCCTGTTTCGCTGCAGATGTTGTTCTGACAGCTGTCTGATGTTACATTGGCCTCCATGAAGCCTGGTTCAGAGTTGATGAGATTTATTTCAAAGTCATGCCACTCTCCATCATCAAGATCAGAACCAAGACCTGTTATTGTAACAGATTCCCCAGATGTACCCTCACGGGAAGTCACAGAGAGAGAACCGTCCACCATTTCAACTGTCAACGAGTCGCCCTGGGAGAAGGATTGCAGCAAGTGCCCACTGGGGATAGTAGTGGAAAATGAGAAGGAGAACTGAAAAGGGAGATCTGATAGAAAAGCATACTCAAGATATTCTTCAGTGCCATAGAAGCTAGCTGATGTGTCCTCAGCGCAGAACTGTCCTGCATATCCTGGTGGGCAGGTGCAGGAGAAACCATGAGCTCCTTCTCTGAAAAACGGGTTGCACGTTGCCCCATTCAGGCACTCTGTATTGTCAATGCAGGCGGTCAGCACCACATCACACCTTGTATCCCCGTACCCTTCCGGACAGCGACAAAAAAACGCACCGACAGAATCTTGACAAGTCGCTCCATTGGCGCAGGGGCTGGATGCACATTCATCGATGTCGTTTCCACAAAAGTCTCCATCGTAACCATTCACGCATGCACAGTCAAAGCGGTTCACCCCATCGTTACAGGTTGCACCATTGGCGCAAGGACCTGAAGCACATTCATCAATGTCCACCTCACAGTCCACCCCTTCAAACCCATCTAGACAGACGCAGACATAACCACTGGCATTGGCGTAACTGAAGACATCCGGAACGTAATCACTATACTGGTTTCCTGGCTCATAAAGAGTCTGATCGGACAACTGAAGACAAGTGGCCCCATTTTGGCAAGGGGACGGCGAGCATTCATTGATGTCAATCCTACAATCAATGCCTTCATAGCCAATGTAACAGGAACAGTTGTAGAACTTGATACCGTCCATGCAGGTCCCTTCATTTTGGCAGGGGTTGGAGGCGCAGTCATCAATGTTGTTGTTGCACTCAGGACCATCAAACCCAGTGTCAGAGCAATCACATACGTACCTGCACAAGAACAGAAAACAAATGTACACTGTCAATGACAAGTTCCTTTTGAAATGAGGGGTTGGATTGGTAAAGTAGCAGAATAACATCGAGTAAAATGAAAGCAATGGAAAATGGGAACAAAGCACTGATTGTGAAGAACATACATGTACATGTATGACATTTCAATATCTGGTAATACATGTATAGTGGAATATTAGTGTTAACGCTCTAGGAGTGAAACTTTCTTTCAAGGGATATTTCATAGGTGTGGCCCTGTTTCCTAAAACTATCTATCAATAAACTACATGTAAGCTTCTGAAATTGTGGCATATGATTGGGTCTTTGGCTGAGAGTAAATTTGTCATAGATATTTAGCATTTGATATTAATAATAAGTTGTATGCAACAGGGCACAGGACTACCATGCAGTTTTCAAGGAAAGTTATCTCATTCCAAAATATTAGATAATACAGCATTCCTTTGAATTAACAGTACAGTGTATATACATTTACAAGTAAAGCTCAATGTTATTAACATATGTCTTCATGATGCTATAAAAAATAAAACTTGTAAAGCCTTTCTCACAAAGAAGCAATGTACGTTACTAGATACCGGTACGCATCACATGCATAGATCCATAATGGTAGCAAAGGGATCATAATACATGCAAATACATGTTGAATACGACATACACTGTATTATGCAATCGTGCGAAACTACACCTACTGTAAGCAAACATGATAGTTTCATCAAATTGTGTTAATATTTCAAATTGAATTAAAAACATGCGTGTAACACAGCACAATTTAAAATTACAAACAAATACGAAAATGTGCTTTAAAGCCACAAGCTTCGGTTATTTCACAAATTCATACAGCCAAAACAATTTTTATTTGAAGTGGTTATTTTTATTATAAAGGTCACAAAAATAGATCCATATAATTAATTAGTAGGCTGTAAAGGCCGCCAACACACAGTACTTTTTTTTTCACCTTTGTATTGTGCTACAAAAAGCTATAACATAGCCGGAATTTCAAACTGGAGGAAAAATGATTGCAATGCTCTTCAACCAAATGGCTAGTCCAGATTATGTCATTTTAAGATTTTGTATTCTTCAATACCGGTACTCTTTATCCTTCTCCCTTTATACACCCATCCCACACAGCGCGATATCTCCACTGACCGCACGATACCCAAAAATACACCCATCGCTTGCAAAGGTAAGGTAAAAAAGGACTATCTCTGTTTTAGCGTTGAGGGTGTGTTAGTTTCTCAGCTGATTGGATACAAAACACGGAAGCAGTCCAGGCACTTTATACTTCGCAGAAGACAGGAGAAAAGCAATAGCCACAAGCAAAAGTGTGAAGTGCCACCCTAAAACTCATCAACTAGTCTGCTCATGAGTTGCTCAAGAATGTGTACAGCTTGAATGTACATTGACTGTGTAAAAATCAACTGCAAAAAATAAAATGAACCTGGCATTCCATGGTTTAATGTTAAGAAGAATGAAGAAATTAGGGATACTAATAATAAATGTAAATCTGTGGATACCTCAAGGTGCATGTGGAATTAATTAGGAACTAAACAGAAGCGTTACAAAATATTTTTAAGGAACCAGAGGTCAAATACATGTACACTTTTTGGTAGTTACAAAAATAGGGCACACACAGAGCCCAAGTCGGACTTGGGCTCAGTGCGCACCCTACTATTCTGCAAGCATGTACAGGTGCTTTGACTAGTCTACTTTGTGCTCTAGTGCTTTTTTTAGGAGTGCTTTTGGGGAGTGTATTTGAACATGTATACATGTATGTATGCATTATCTTGTCATAGAAGCAATATTTGAAGCTCACATTCTGATTACAGGATGGAATAAGAATGGAACCAATCACATACAAGAGCAAAACATTGTCTGGAGATTGGCCAATCATTGGTTCACTATGAAGGGGACAGGAAAGGAGGCGCAGAGATTCGAAAGTGTGAACTTACCCTGGTTGAAAATTGCTGCATGAAAGTGATCGAGGCAAGAAAATGAAACGCATACACCAGCGATAAAATGAAAGATCAATGAAAAAGATGTACAGTGTAGATGCAGATGTAGATAGGTAGGTAGGTAATGCAGAAAAAACACCACACTAAATCACAAAGAGATACTTATTTTTTAAATTGTAGTGAAAATGCTAGAACCCAATGAACGTAAAGACCGAGATGTGCCTGACTAGAGACTAGAGTATAAGGAAAATTGTATACCGAAATAATCTGTATACATCTAATGGGTAGAAGAAGAAAAAAATACTAAGATCCGAAGAGATAAAAACAATAAACAAAGTTTACTTTTAAAGGGGAGATGGAGCAATTGTGCTAAATGGATCCTAGGGAGGAAAAAAATCATGAATTCTGACTAATCACTTAACTTGGCAAAAAAAATTGTTATTTTTTTTGTTCCGTTTTTTTCTTCTTCTTTTGTGCAAACATGGGGGAAAGGGAAAATGGTATTACCCCATAAAAATGACATGAATATGATGTGAAATGTCTCAATACATAAATATTACTTTCTAAAGATAAACTCTTTAATTGTATGATAATGACTGGTCTTATTTCGCATTAGGGGAAATGATTGCCAATGACAGAAAATGACTTGTTTGTGACTGTGAGTTGTCAAAAAGGGAAAAATTTGTAGAGAATCATATCAAGTATAACTTGAAAAATTGTAATTTATGAAAAACTTATATCGGATGTATATAACATTGATATAAAATATGAAAGAATTTAAAATGAGTGAAAGTTACGTGTCTGCAATTTAATTCAGATATCTATATTATACGGATTAGAAGGTATATTTATTGAGTGTTTATTGAGTAAGGGTAGGCGGTGCAGTATAAAAAAGAAGAAGTTGAATCTGGTGTAATGCTTGAGAAATAACCCTCAGTAAATGAAAAGATATGAAATTACCAGATCACCAAGTAGAAATACCCACATGCAACCCCACATACATAACATATATAGCTTAAAGGCACGGCATAGTTTGATTTAAAAAAAAAAAAAAATTAATTTGGAGCACATTTGCTGCGTAATTTCAACTTAATTTGCGGTTCCCTTAGGAGCCCCTTTTTGTAGAAGTTAAGCTAATTCAATAATGATAAACTTTTTGTCTGAGCAATATGCAGAGACACAACTTTCTACAAAAAGTGTTTGCCTATTCTACATGTAGGATGACTGATGACTCGGTGTAATAAGTATTTGGTACAGATACATACATGTGGCCTCTGCATGCTCTAATTTGAGTAAAAAATTCTTTAATACTACAAGGCTTTTTATGAACATCTTTGCCCAAACTATGCATTGCTTTTAAACACGAGTAAGGAGAATTAAGGAATGGTTTTGTACAGAAGATTGCTAATTCACACAAAGTAAATATATACTATTCAATTCTGTATAGTTGGTTTAAAGGTTGTTTTCTCACCCATTCACTTCGTCCGTGCAGACTCCACCATTTAGGCAAGGGTTTGATGCGCACTCATCGATGTTCATCTCGCACTTGATCCCGCTGAAGCCTGGTGCGCACTCGCATCTGAATTGGTTGACCTCATCCACACAAGTAGCGTTGTTGGAGCACGGAGAACTCGCACACTCGTCAATATTTGTCCCGCAGTCGGCATCAGTGAAGCCCGGAACGCAAGTGCAATTGTGGCCTACGGGTAGATCCATGCAAGTTGCGCCGTTCAGACATGAATTGACATCCTGCTGACCACACTCATCTAACTCTGTCTCGCACGTAGTCCCAATGTAGCCCTGAGGGCAGAAACACTCAAACCCATTAGGCTTATCTTGGCATATGCCGGTGTTTTGGCATGGGTCCGAATCACATTCGTTAATGTCCGTTTGGCAGCGATCCCCCTCAAATCCTCCAGCACACGTGCAAGTGATATTCCCTTCGTTGACAGAGCACGTGGCACCGTTCTCGCATGGAGTCAACGAGCAGAGGTTGTCGGCGCAGTTGGGCCCGATGTTCCCCGCCGTGCAGGTGCAGTAGTACCCACCGTTGGTGTCGGAGCAGCCTGCTCCGTTCTGGCAAGGGCTGTTCTGGCACTCGTTTTCGTTGGTTTCGCAGCGGGTTCCTGAGTAACCTGTACCGGTGCAATCACATGTGAAGGAGTTGATGCCGTCCTGGCAGGTTCCCCCGTTCAAGCATGGATTCACCTCACAGTCATTGATTTCTAAGGTACACAGAGTGCCTGCATAACCTAATCACAATACACAAACAGGAGGTAAGGATGTTAAAGAAAAGATACTTAATATCATTTGTTCATTTAAATAAAAGTATAAATAGCAACAGATGACATTCATATATTTCAGTTCTAACATTGTCAAAGATTGGTAGACAATTTTTTTACTCTACCGGTAAATAATTTTCATCTTGTCATGTCTTTGGTACCCAGTTTCCATAGATAATTTTATGTCAGTCAAATAAATTGTGCTCCCTCAAGTTTTTCAAGTTGCTAATATAGGCATATACAAATTGCGATTTGGCAGAAATTTGAAGGGCAAAATCAGAAAGGCTGAAATAAAGTGAAAATTGAAATATTCCGCCAATATCAGGAGGGTTGGGAGGTCTGCTACCCCTATACTTTCATTGAGACAGAGCCTGGAGCAAATCGTCGCCTGGCTGGCAGAAGGGCGTTTGCTCAAATTTCAGGTAAAAAATGAAGCGTTAAGCAGAGGGGCGTTAGCACTAAATCGCCTCAAGCTTTTATAAAACTGACTTACCCGTATTTCCGAGAAAGAAATTGTGGTCGTGTTCTACTATAACATTTCTATCAGTCTTTTAAGTTTTAAACCAATTTTCAGGACAGAAAGCAGTTTAAATATAAAACAAATCTTTATATGCGAATAATTTAAAAATTAGTTTTTGAGTCGCTTGCGCGCTGATGCCCTTCTGCTAGCCGGCCGTCGATATGTCCCCTGAGGAAATGTTGGATTGCCTACCTGCTGAACAATGGCATATGATTCCATCCACAGCGGCGTTGGTCTGGCACTCGCCGCTGTCACCACAGGGGTTACTGTCACACAGGGTGGAGCTGGTGTTACATGCCAGTCCTCCGTACCCCGGGTTGCACCTGCAGAAGGTGGTGTTGGACTCCCCATCCCCCATGCAGGCACCGTTGACGCAGTCCAGAGCGAATGATGGGTTGCTGCAAAGTTCACCTACGAGAAGAGTGAAAGCAATGCCTCTCATAAAAGGAAACCTTAAACAGGATTTGCTAATCTTCATTTCATGGCCTCTTCTCCCAATAATCTCTTTTGTATTTCCGACCGACCGACCCATGTTTTGGCACCCAAAGGGCAATACAACAAGTTTTTGTTTTAGGCCTTATAGTCAATTTATGTTCAGAACTCTACAATACTTGGTGATGCACGGAACACCACATGACCAAATACCTTGGACTTGCCCACACCAATGGTCAAGAATATCTGGAGAAATAGTACAGGGTGTCTATGTCAGTTAATGAAGTCTCCAGACCGGACAGTTCATGCAATGTACCTTACACAGTGACTGAGTCAGGTATGTGTCTGCTAATCCTCAGCAAGCACTGTACCACCACCAGTCATTCATTCGGATTCAGCACGTACCTCTCGATACGCGAGGCTCTTTGGACAGCATGGTGACTTACCTAGATCATTTTCACATGTGGTGCCGTTGAATCTTGAGGTGCACTGGCAGGTGAATCCGATACCATCACTGCTACATAATCCATTGTTTAGACACGGCTGACTGGCACAAGGGTCTTGAGGTCCTTCAAAGATTGGAAGCAAATATTTCATTCTAGTATAAGTCAAACGCTGCACATTCAATACCATTTTTTTTCATTGGGGAGGCTGATATACCGGTACCGTTTTATTGTCCCAGCCCACTTTAATAGGGGAGACATCCAGGCGTGCAGCAAAAAGGGCAATGGAGAGTGTTGTACAGTATAGTAGGTGTTTTTTTTTTGGGGGGGGGCACAAAACTTCCTTATTTTTGTTTTAACCCCAAATATTTTTTTTGGGGGGTCAATCTGTAAAATTTTCTTGCTGCAAATTTGGTGATGGTTAACACAATTTTTGTCTCCTGACGATGGATAGTCAACCTGTTTGAACTGTCGAGCCACTCCTACTACCCATTCTCTCTAACCAAAAGCTATAGTTCTCCTTAGAACTGTAAGCTCACGAAAGATACCTAGTCTTTTTCCAGACTTCACACACACTCAAGAAAGAAAGATTACCGACAGTTCTTTTCAGGACTCCCCAATCCTCCCAATCCTCCCCCCTCCCCCCTCCCCCCCCCCCCTCTCACATGGTGCAACCGTAAACCTACTGTACAATTTTGAATTTGTCCATTTGGTTTTTTATTCTATCAGTACCTGGTAAACTGGTACTCTGGCACTTACCACATCCGATGTCTTGATCAAGAGGGCAGACTCCCCATCCCGCGTTCGACCAGGACACTGCGTTGGCAAAATCGATCCCCACTATCTCCTCCATGCATCCTGTAAAGCCCGTCCCAAGGACCATCACCGGAGACAAAGCCAGATCCAGAAGCGTTGGGTTCTTGATGAACGTCGCCAGCTCGATGGCCTCATCCCGCACCCTCAGCACCACAGACTCCCCAACATACACAAAATCAACGATCGTCCAGAGGTTGTCGTTGAACCCTTCACCTACGGCAGTCTCCATCACGCCCGAACCACTGTTCCAGCGGATGCGGATGGAGCCCGTTTCGTTTATGCTCACTGCGATCGTCTGATCACCGTTAGTCTGCGAGAAAAGCTCGCCGCCAGTGCAAGTCCTGAATTGTAATGTTATCTGTCCTTGAGCAGAAAATATTGTGTTGGTTTCGACGGTCGCTGTGCCGTTGAAGAAGACTAGGTTCTGTGGTCCTTCAGTCTGTGATAGGACTGTATGAAGCACCAGCCCTATGGTATAGATGAGAATAAAGACAAACAAAATATATGTTAATATTTTACAGTCAAAATATCGTTTCTAAAGCAGACAAGTGGACTCATGAACATCTTACACAAATAACTAAATACATGTGTACATACATGTACATATTGTACACATTACATACATGTATGTAGTCAAGAGGAACTTTCTTAGGGAACCTGAGAGGAATTATGGTCATATTCAAATGCTAGAGTAAAAAGAAAATAACATGATGGTATGTACGCGTACATGTATGCTATTGAAATAACAAATTGCACCCTTGTACAAACAAAACACACATCCTTATATTTCGTTTGACTGTCACTTTGACATAATGTACCACTGTCAAGGTTGAGAAAGTGTGGCTTGTACACTTTATGTGTGCATGCGTAGGAAAATGCCAGCAACCACGGACCACTCCATAGAAAACTACCTCAAACCGCGGACGTACCTGCAATGGGGGACCATCCACGGTTGCGATACCGGTTCCGCCGTATCAAATTTACGACGTAGGGGGCGTTTGAATATTAGATGTCATAGCGTGTAGGCAACATCGACTGGATCAGTCCGATGTGTATCGCGAAATGTCACAGCGCCCCCTTTTGACTGCGCGGGAGAGGCCCTCGCTACCTGGATCATCCCATAGGAGGTACGTCCGCGGTTTGATGTAGTTTTCTATGGAGTGGTCCGCGATTGCTGGTGATTACCTACGCACACACACACAAGTACTAAACTTGGTCCACGGTTGACAGCATTTCCCTGTAGTGGTGGACACTTTATACTAGTGTGAATAAATTCAACAAATTTAGGAAAGTACTTTCAAAGTAGACATTTTTACATGTATGCAGGGATCGACACTAACGAAGCCCCAACACTTTGATCTGGACCCCATAATTTAAAACTTTTTTGTTTACATACATCTACAAAAAAAAGTACATACAGACTCTAAAAACCTACACTGTAAATCCGGATCCCCTTCCCCCAAAAAAGTAGTGTGGAGCCCAAGGCCCCATTTCACAAAACTTGTCATCAGTGACAAATGACAGTTCTTGTTATAAGCTAGTGAAATGCTTGCTTCTGATTGGTTATCAGCAGATTTGTCACTGAAGTTTTTTTCATTTGTCTTTGAAAAAAGGCTTTGTGAAACGGGTCCTAGGTGTATGTGGGGGAAATACTAATGTATGTCTTTATTTCATACATGTACATATTTACATAGTACATAACGGTACATGTACTGTACATGTATATCCTCCATGAACATAATTCATTAACTGTTTCAGACAGCATGTACATGTACATGTACATTACATGTAATGTACCAATCAATATACATGTACTTTATAATGACTAGCTGTCAAATCTGAATGTACAGTAATGATTATTCTCTGTTTTCCATAAATTCCATTCAGCCAATAGGCTGCTTTGTGCCATGTACAGTGTACATGTACATGTATATGCCCATATTTGAGGTAAACATACATGTACATACCCCTTGTAAATTTGATATTTTTTGGTGAATTTTGTAACTCAAGAATGAAAGGTGGACTGGTTGAATTAGGGCCTTTGTTGAATACTTTTATAGATGTAAGCTTGTCACCTTCTCATCAAACATAAATCTAGACAAATCAATTTTTAACATACTTACTGATAAAAATGTACAAAACTTGGTAAGGGTATGAATTAATTATGAATAATTTAATTGTCAACTAACAAAAACAAACACTCCGATACGATTTTACTGTCAAAAGAGCAAACAATAAACATCGAACAGACAGGTTGAATATTAATAAATAACAATTTGGGGCTTTTGGGCGTGACCTTCGTATGAATGAATCACTTTTGTACACAATGGGCCACTTAATTAAAATTCTGCAAATTCTGCACATACAATGGAGCCAAATAATTGTATGATTTGGAATATATATTGCATTGGTACTGGTACTTGCCGTACACAGGTGGAAATACATGTACCTGTACTGTACATACATGTAAATGTCAACATTATTCGGGTTTGGGATTACCTTTTCAAAATACTGGTATCTTTTTTAAAGACATGATTGTGGATTTTATCCATAATATATTTCAAGGGCTATTAAAGACCATCTGTCAGTAAACAAAAATGTACATTATATAGTCTGCTGAGAGCCAGAAGGGCATTAGATTCTTTACAAAATACATGTATGATTACAATGTAGTTAAAGAGAAGGTTGAGTTCTGGGAAAGGTGAACAATAATTTGTGAGCGTTATCATTCTTATTATGCAATTGTGGAAGAACATCAGATAAGACATGTTCCCTGAAAAGCATGGCTCTTCATATGCCTTCATATTCTAAATATGTCATGTAACATCGTAAAACTCGGGGGTAGGATTTTTACGCCACGTGTTCGTGTAGTCCCATATACATCTTTCTGTGTACAGTGTTTGTAACTTTACCAAGACTTGGCCAAAGTTCTTATCATTTTGATGATTCCAGAACCTTGCAATACACACAAAATCTTATATGCTAGATGATCAACCTTTTCTGGTCAATTCCACACCGTTTCTTTCACAATGCAATTGCATGACCATAACTCAACTTCATCTTTAACACTATATAGATGTGGCCTATGTGTTTATCCCCTATCAGACCTTTGCAGACCCCATGGTGATTTCCTCTGCACCAAGTATATTATGTGGGAAGAATTTGGGAGTAACTTAATATTATTATCATACAATTCCTTTAAAAAGTTCAAAGATTCAACTTTTTTTTAAAATCAGACAATTTCAGACATTTCAGAGAAACTTGGCCATGCAAATCCTCCAAAACCTGACACCTGATTTAAGACAAGTGGCCAAAAAAATGTGCCAAGAAGGGTGAAATTCAACCCATCTTGATCTTGTACCCCGAGAACGACCCTGCATCCAGTCATGCAGTGACAATCATGGGGTCATTTTACAAGAGGGTGCGACTATAAGGAGGAAACAAAATGGAATTTGAGCATTGCCTGTAGGAGGCTATGCTAGTAAACATTCGTATCGAATACACAGGTACATTTGGACGTAAAGTTGAAGGAAGAGTTGGGAAATTTAAGCAGTCTTGAACTGCATTCTGTATTAAAGTAGGGACATGTCTCTGCTATTTAAGCATTTTTTTATCTGATCTACATGTACATGTGTATGTAACTTATGATACCTGAAACTGCAAACACCTTTTAATAGCTGCAGACATTCTATAGATATACATACAACAAACACCATACATTCTAAAGATGTACATTTAATCTATATCTTTTTTACCGGTATTTATTTATTTTATTTTTTTTTTGGTGGTGTTTATAGGTCTAGACCTCTGCTGAAAGGCATTTGTTCAATTCAAGAGGCTGTGTCTGTACACAGTACAGCTTCAACCTCCAGTTTGAGTGCCAAACTTGTCAACAATTGCTCTATTGTAATTCACAACTACTACACAACACAACTATACTGCAGAGTTATTATAACTCCCTGCCCACCGTCAAAAAGCTTTTCATTCCATTTGACACAAAGTCTTTCATCACAGGCCTTGCAAACATCCAGACATTCCTTTCAGATTGTGACACACTAGGCCTGTCTTCACTATCTCGAGATTGCCAAATATCCAGCTATTTGAGCTATCACGATCGCAAACTATCCAGCTAATTTGCGTCTTCATAAGACCAAAGTAGCAAATTAGCTGGATAGTTGGTCGGGATAATATCCCAAGATATCTCGGTCTAGTATGCAAAATATTCCGCTAGTTGGGAAAACGATTTCCGGCGCACATGCGATCTATACCACTCAGCGCGCTAGTACAACTAGTAAACACGGAAAATCGGAAATCGTTGTGCATGATGGGATCGGGATATTTGACTCCGTACTTCGGTCTAATGAAGAGGGTCGCAAACTATCCTGCTAGTTGGGAAATACACTGTAGTGGGATATTTTGCAAACTAGAGCGAGATATCTTGGGACATTATCCTGACCAACTATCCAGCTAATTTGCTACTTCGGTCTAATAAAGACGCAAATTAGGTGGATAGTTTCATCGGGATAGTTCAAATACCGGGATATTTTGGCAATCTCGAGATAGTGAAGACAGGCCTACTGAAATAAATTATTGAAAATGTCTGGTAGTTTTGGGGTCATTATTTACAGTTGTTGGGTCTATAGTACTAGGGAAATAGGGACTTTTCGATTTGCACGTTCACTTGTGGACTGCAACGTATGCGGTCACTTTTGAAGCAGTGCACATGCGCATCGACGAGCTCATCGTTCGTAGCAGAATTTTCGAACTTGTTTGCCCTTGTTTTGCCGTCGTTCGCAAACTGTGACGGTACGTGTTCGTAAGCAATCTTTTGTAGGCACGAAACATCACATTGAAGTCACAAAATGGACACAATTGACCTTATTCTGGAACCGGAGAGTGGTGGAAGCGTGAATTCTCTTTACTTAACACATTTCTGTGTCTGTAATTTCCCTTAAATCAAAATTGTTGCAGAGTAATTCATGAAATGAACACATTTTATTAATGCATCGCCAATCTGTTGCAGCTTATTTTTCAAGATCAGTCCCATGCACCGAATTTGGTGTGTTGAATCTTTAGCCTTTCTATCGAATTTCGCGCTCAAAAAGCAGAATAATTCATAAAATGAACACATTTTATTTATGCATCGTTAATCTGTTGCAGCATAATTTGTTAAAACAGTCCCATGCACCGAATTTGGTGTTGGATCTTTAGCTATTTGATCGAATTTTGCGCTCACTAAGCGAGCGTCGTAGTTGTGTAAAATCGAAAAGGTAACGAACAGCAGTCAGCGTGCCTCGTCAACCCTGCTTAAAAATGACCGCATACGTCGCAGTCCACTTATGAACGTGCAAATCGAAAAGTCCCTATTAAAGATGAAGTTGAGTTCTGGTCATGCGATTGCATTGTGAAAGAAACGGTGTGGAATCGACCAGAAAAGGTTGATCATCTAGCATTTAAGTATTTGTGTG